CATTTTTATTGATCGTAGTCTCCGTAAATTCGAATAGACGGAACAAGAGAGTGTCTAATTACGTAATTCTAAACAGAAGGTGATTGATGAATTTGGCTCTCAATCGTAAAATCGCATGCAACTCACAATTACTTGTGTGTAGTGTTGTGCGATAATAGTGCTTCCGAGTGTAGGGGTTGATTGAAAAAACTGAGGATTGTGTGTGAAGGTGAGGTCTGAATGATGGTCAGTTCTAATCAATTAATCAATCCGAATTCTCGTGGTTCGANAGTATGAACCGCGGACAATGACCTTTTTGATATCGAACTATCGGTTCAGTGTTATTTTTTCAACAAGTAAACTATGCAACTATGTAACCTCAACGTTCCTACTGATGATGCGGTCCTCACGATCTACACTCCGGTATTCAATTTATCAGAATAACCAAATGGAGACCTGTCGGAAACGTAAATTCCATTTTGAAAAGCCCAGAAGCCGGGGACAGTTTCCTGCTATTCAGGTACGGGGTTTTCTATGAAGCTTCCCGGAAATGGGCCTTATTGCTGAGATTAGCGATTGGAAACCGAAAAACACCCGGTGTAGACTTTGGGTACAGATTACATACTAGGATTCTCGGTGCAAGTTTCAAAACTCAATTGAATCTTAGAAAGTACACAAAAGATGATTTTTTTGTCTTTCTTGCAGTTCCTTGATCAATTTTTTTGTTTCTGGTGTTTCGCTTTGATAAAGATGTTTCAACTCCCCCAGGTTAGTAATAACTTGTATCATTGAAGTTCACTTCAATTCACTTCATATAGCATAGCATTGTAAGAATACAAAGTGGTTTGAGATCATTTTTTAAATCCCATGCTAGTTCACACAAACATGGTCTGATTATTGTTTACGGTGTATCGAATGCATAGGAACAGTTGAGGTGAAACAGTTTAAATGGTGCTCACCAGCCAGCTCCGAGTTATGCATACTAAGGTTCTAAACCTTCTGAGGCCACCCGAAATCCGTGGCAGATAGCGAGCGTGTTCATATGATTAGTACTAACCCTATTGAACTACACACTTTATGTCCCAGATCTTAGGTTGTCAGTTTTCGTAAGCGAACGGTAGATTTTCGCCGCATTGGGTAAAACCTTTCCATCGATCTTCGCACACCAGGAGAGGTAATGAGAAAACAGGTCGCTATGATTTTCGAAGCTCAATATGATAAACCTTTTCGACTTCGAAAGAAGTATTTTATGGTGTAACGTACTGCGATTGCCTTGCCTACAGATCACGAAATGTGAATCGTGTTTGTTCCATCTTTGTTCTGCTTTTTAACACGGAATTTAGGTGTCGCTGATGGCGAACTTCGACACATTTTGACCCTATTCTTCAACTTGTCTAAATACAAGCAAAATTTGAAGGTGACTCCGCCCGGTTTGGTGTCAACCGGGAATAATGGAGACATGGANTCCGGTACATCAATACCAACGAGCCACAGCCAATCCTTATGTGACGGCACCGTACGCGATGAACGGTCATTTGACAGTGCCGGGTCCAGGCTCACGATTTGGTTATGCCCTCTCGGGCCGCGGTGTGACCCCGGCTCCAGTGCCCTTGGCGCAACGTTCGGAACAACGCGCCTCACAACCGGCCGTTTTCAACGGGTTCTCGGGCGAATCAGCTACCACGATCAGAGCCAGTCTGAACGGGACATCGACCAAGATAGCCGATGGAAGGTAAGCGATTTGGTCTGGAACTTGTCACATGCTGACCAAACTTTGATGAACACAGGTTTCGATCAACATTCGATTGCTCCCCATGACAACACCATACATATTACGTAACCATCCATCGTAGTCGGGGCAATTTCTTCAAACAACTGATGGCGACCCGATTCGATTTAAAGCGTACTTCTGACAGGAACCAGATGGACATTTGAAGTAAACTGTAGACTGGGGTGGGATGTTGATTGAAGATAACGATTTTCTCGTATAACAGCATCAGTTGAAATTGGCCACGGAAATAAACTTCTGACTGAAAAGACAGAATGAAATAGAAATAGAGAAAATATTTTTCTCCAATATGGCATGTGCCATGTTGAAGTCAACCGCAAACCCTGTACCGGTTCCTCCCATTTTTAGCAGCTGTCTGTGGCCCAAATCGAAAACTGATTTCACTGATATCACTACAGATAGTCGATGATTATCTCCACTCCACCCCGCCGTCGATCGCTCCCCGATATGTATTTCAATAAACCTTAAAACCAAGTTTGTTTTGTTGTTTGTCCGTAATTCAAACATGATTTGCACACATCACAATATGTATGCATATGCCTGTGTGTGTGTGTGTTTCTNGGGGGGTGGGGGAAGGGTGAGTGTGCGCGGGCATTTCGAAATAAACCATACATGGTGCACATGCGAACCGGCTCATGCACTCGCTCTCTCTCTCTCTCTCTCTCTCTCTCTCACACACACACACACACGCACACACTGGGCGTCTCCCAATGGACAAACACAGTCGAAATGGCCCGTCTGCCAAGTACCATCATTTTTCTCTCTCTCTCTCATTCTGTCGAATGTCGTCCTCCAGAAATCAATCCAAATCTGGACTTAGCTGGGCGTGGCACTGGCGTTGGTGACTGACTATGCAAATTTCATCTCGATATCACGTCACGCTGATTAGGGGAAGGGGGATGACGAACGCGCGTATATGCCGTGATACCATCTGTGGTCAAAATCGGTTTGGAAATTACTCAATTATTCGCACACAAACCTGGCAGGTGAATTAAGCGAACGGGGAGCTGCGTGAGTGGGTGAAATGAAATAACGTATGAGTAAAATAGGTTTCAAAACCAGTCCTGTCTCACTTGGCATGAGTGTACCTAGTGAAAGTCGCTAATGGAGGCGTTGAGTCTAGTGTGATTTCGGGTTTTGAGGATGATGTGTGTGTTTGTGTGTGTGTGTTTAGATACACGCATGTCTAGTATTTCACGCAAGGAGATCGACATATTGACCAATCGATGAACAGTTGAATGCAAACCCTTTCGTGACACGATCAATGATTGGAAACGTGGCAATTGTGTACGATTGGTCGTATCATTTCTCACCTGGCGGATAGGCGCGATTTTGAGCGTTTTTGATTGGCTCGGTTTCCACTACGGCGCAGATTTTGAAAGTACGCATTCACTTCGGAAACCGCATTTGATGTCCTCCACACAGTACGAATGATTTGGAAACTGTGTTTGAAGCAAAAAATAACTCAATCATTCATTGTTGAATTTCTTCCGACTAACAAACACCCGTTGGGAAGAAATAAGTGGCCAATAGAAGGCATTGGAACCATTTAGTGGATACATGTAACATGTAAAAACAAAATTCTGAGTTAGTGTGACAATGATGATCGTCGTTTGTACGGAGACGAATGAATGTGGAATAGTCTTATAAACTAAGCCCCCTGGGTTTGTGAAGAACACATGAGTCACTGAACTCGAACGGGCTGACTGGAATTGTGTCAACAAGATTTAAAGGGTCAACGAGTGAAATACGAATCAATATTCATTAGGCCTGCCAATACCGGAAAGTTCGATGGCGAAACCGATCAGTCACGTGACACCCGATACGGGTGATCTAGTGATGTTGGCAGGGGGGATTTTTAAATTTTGCATGACCAAGATATTTGGATGATGATGATGATGATGATGATGATGCCGAGACAACCACGAACGGGATTCACCACCGAAAGTGGGTTGAATTCGGTCCCACAGACATGTGAATAAACTGCGAACTTCAAAACTTTGTTCAACTGAGTATGGCTTCATAAATGCAGAGTCTAGGGCAGTTCCATTACACTCGAAAGCACAATGATATAACCGCTTGGTAATTTAGTGAGGTAACTTGTAGCAAATAGACAGGTGAAGATATACTTTTTTCTACCCCGAGACATTGTGATGGCAGAAAGCATACTCCGGGTACGTGCGGAGTATCCTTAAGCGTTTCTATACCTCGCCTGATTGCAACAAGCCACCCACAAAGCAAACTAACATTGTACGATAGACGTACTAATGTGGTTTATTTGTTAAACAGTGGTCAATAAACTTGCACAGTTTCTTACATTCGGTATTTTGAGCACATGGGCACACACACACAACTTTCGTTTCCTTCCGGGGTGTTTTTATGACCGCTCGACAATAAGCGATCTGGTTTAATTGTGTTCCAATCCGTACTCGTTTTAGCCGGCACTTCACGGTGATATGTCCCGCGTCACACCACTCGTATGATCATGTATGTATCATGTATGTCCAACTGAGGTGCAAACTGAAAGACTGAGACGATTAATTATTCATCGTTCTAATCCAGTTGTGATTGTTTTTTCGAATTAGCCATCGATTTCCGCACGTGCTGACCGGCATCTACAGTTCGTAATTGAAAGAAACGAATGCAAACATGATTAAGTATGAGAGAACTTGATCTCGCGATAAACCTATCGCTTCGACACACATGGTTTGATAGAACGGAGTAAATGAGTGATCCCCGCCGCAAGGTTTATCTAAAATCGTATCGATCTTTCTCTCTCTCTCGTTTACTCGCGCTCGCTTCTTTTCGTCAAACAGCCAAACGCTTTATGTTCACGTTGACTACACGAAAATTTGAATGTGGAATAATAAACGAATAAATGTTTAAATCATTATATACATATCGTTACCGCCGCCTTTCACTCACTCACTCACACACGCACAC